CAACGAATCGGGCAAACGACTTCTCCTGGATATTGTCCACGAAACTGATATAACAACTGAAGAACAACGTTCAGGAACAAAGATCACAATTTTTGCATTTTTTCTCCAATTCCTATAAAAATATTCATTTCTATAAAATAAAGGTGGTAGCTATTGTTTTTCCATATAATTTCTTTAACTTCGTTACTGTCATGCATATGAATTGTAAATTTAAACGTTACCGACATTTTTGTAATGGTTGAGCTTTGAAAAACATGCTGTCCCTTAACTTTTGGAGGGCAGTGTACATCAATTTATTATTAATTTTTAAAACCACACCATTCATCTATAAACCTTGTATTCATTTATAACCCTGTACATGTATGTATTCATTTATAACACCCTGTATATACATGCAAATACATTTTTTTCCATATTGTCTAATTTCACAGTGCCCTTTGCCTAAATAAGGTAACAACTTACAGTGTAAAAAGGTTCCTTACTCCTGGCCTATGGGGTATTAATTTATTCTTAAAAGTTCCGTCATTTCTATTTCCTAATCAGCTGAGTTTATCGGTCATTACTCAGGTCCAAAGCATCTATTTTTTCCCCTTTTTGAAATGCAAGTATCATCATAATATTACTTTGTGTAAGTGAAATGCTTTATTTTCCCCCAAAAGGTGGAAAACGTTTAATAAATCAACAAAGGTTGCAAGGACTGAATTATAAAGCAAGCATGGCGCACCCAATGGGGAGACAAAAATCTAAAAAAGCACCAAATGCTGTCTATATAAAAATAAAATATAATTCATTTCTAGACGTGCTTTAAGCACGCACTTGCGTGAAAACTTTTATGCATTTAAACATTCTGTCCATTGGGCTGAAATTAACATTTTTTCTTCATGCATATTTTAACCTTCATTAACCTTCAGTTCGAGGTATTAAAAAATATAAACCTTTAGTTCGTAGTACTAAAAAACATAAACTCAGAAATTTGCAGCTAAGATTTTGAAAGCAGCAGCTAATATTCTTTTATGATACATTTGTTTTTACATGTGTTTGTCAGAAATTCCTATTTTAAAGTTAGGCCACTATCTTTAAGAAAATGCATATAAACGTTGTAAGGTTTATTTTAATTAACCTGTTTTGCTTATCCTATATTCCTACTATTTCGATCACTCCATCAGAATTTTTAAACGAGAATCTAAATTAAGTGAAGAATTGATAATAGGAATAAAAACCTCAAGTGATTGTATCCGCCTTAAGCGGTATTTCTCCTAGTTAATGGGTTTTTCCTTTGTTGTTGAATACTGTATAATTTAGTTCGTGAATTGTTACCGAGCCAGGTGCCCGGTAGAATTAACTTATAAACTGTAAACAACTCGAATTTCGTTTAGTTTGTTAATTCCCCCTCAGAAGCGGAAGTAAATCTATGTTTATTAGTTTTAGATTCGTGCATCATGTTGAAGGTAGAATAAAGTTTAGTTGTTATTATTCCTACAGAAATTATTTAGTTTTTGGACATCGAAGTAAAAGCAGAGAGGGAAATTTATCTTTCAAGTTAGAAGGTTAGAGTAGTTTTAGTTTAGGCAAAAGGTGAATTTAATCTTCAATAAAGCCTACTGCGAACCGTTGAACTTGGCAGAAAGTGTGAACTGAATGTGAATGTGTATGTGTAAGTGTCTTTCAATTGGCTAAAAGCCTCGTAAACCTCTCCCATTTCTTAAGAAATTTCTTTTTTTAATATAAGATTTGTTACAATAGCAATAACGGTATGCTATTTATAATTTTGCTACCTGCTATTTAATATTCCCACTTTCTTAAGCGCTTCACTCATATTTCCTCCTTTCCCCCTTTTTAAAATTCTAGCATATAAACATTATTCTAGGAACAGGACATTAGAATCTCCGAATCTCGTGAAGTATTCGAGATTTGAAAACTCGAATCTTCGCGCTTGTTTTTTTTGTGATTCAGATCTTTTGAATCATAACCTAAAATAAGTAAAAAGTTTTGACTCAAAACGTTGAACAAATTAAATTGTTCAGTTGAAGCACTGATTGAAAAAGTAGAGTGATTATTGCCTATCAGTAAACTTTGGTCACAAACATCACCTATTGATGGCCCTGTATCCTAATTTACGAGAAAGAATTCAGAGTTCTTTGTTTAGAGTTTATGTCTGTTATAAACTAAAATAATGCCCCCCCCTCTCTACAGCTGCTTTGATTAATAAACTGGAACTGTTACTAAAAATGTTTTTTCTTGGCAATTATATTGAGAAAGTGAGGGTAAGATTAAAACATTTTATACATTTCATTTGCTGCGTTTCATTTGAATCTTAATAGATATATGTATATTTTTAAAACAGTTCCATTGTTCTTCGTTAAATATAAATTAAAAATTTTGATTCAATTAAAAACTTTTAATGTTTTAGAAAAAAAAAATCTTTTTTTCTCTTCGTTATATTCTGATATGACAGATTTAAGAGATTTGAGAACATTTTCCTTTTGAGAACTCTTGAAACTTTTAGTTGTCAGATTCGAGAAAATTTAGGATTCATTTACCTCTACGATATTTATCTTTGCTAATTGGTTTTTCAGATATCTCATCCTTTTTTTCTTTTCCTAAACATGCCACCAAGAAAACAGGAAAATGTTTTTCCCCTTTAACCTATAATTTAAATCTATTTCTCATTGTTGTTATAATTTCTTTTCTTTTCCTCCCCCCTAAAACCAGGAAGTGAATTTTTCAACTTTCTGTCCAAAATAATCTATTGAAACAATGGTAACTGAAATGGCTTATTCTCCTCCCTTACTCTTATGTACGATTTCAAACGTCTTTTTCAAATACTGTAAAGTTTCAGACGTAGTCAAGAACATGAAGTAAGTGTTGTTCCTTCTTACGTTTCAGGTTCTACCAACAAGAGATTGTCAAAAGGCTAGGTTAGGTTATTTAAATATGGCAAGGCCGCGAAGGCTATCTGCCATAGAGAAGGGACTATGGACTTGGACTCCATCTTGGAGGACTTTCTGATGGAAAATGGTTCACATACACATAAGGAAAGCCACGGAAACCAATCATGCAGCCAGCCCGTTCTTCTGGTTTCGAACACAAGCTGGTCAAGACACAGTATTTAGCAGTCTTAACCACTGGTGAGGCGTTAAGTTTGGTTTAATTAATTATGACAAAGCACTCGAGGTCTATCTGCCTAAGGTTTATAACTGATTTTACTAGAAAGTTTAAAATTTTGAGCATTTAAAAACTGCTATTGAGTTCTATAAATACATTCTTAAAACAATCCTTCGCATTATGGAAACAATTATGCTGCTTTATATATTGGTCGTTCTGCATGTCTTCAAGAAAATAACGAAACTTAACTATCAGTACTTACTCATACAAAATGTGCTGGTAACAAATGCATGATTTGTGCACACCATAAAATATTGCGCATGAATCTTGGGCAACAGAATATGAGTTGGATAATACATTTGAAAGCCGACACTCGAAACCAAAATATTTGCCCCTCTCTTCAAGAAAAAAATCCTTCAAATAGTAGCAAAATCATTTTACGTCAAGATCTTGTTAACAGAGTGGAAATTCTTTTAAGTTACGTTTTATATACAGTTAATTAAGTTTGTTAATTAGGTTTTAAGAAAACAGTTTATGAACTAATTAATCAAAAAAGGTAAGTGGTGCTTTAAATACCTTTTCTCTCTCTTATTACGTTAAAGAAAGGTATTTTGATTGGATTAGACGTTAGAAAAATTAATATTGGAGTGCAACTTTGGACTTGTCACAAAAGTTGAAAAGGTAAATAATACCATTACGAAGTTTTTAGTTAATGTTATTGACTATGGCTGTGATTGAAGATATGCTACGAAATTCAGACCTCTAGACTACTTGTACATTTATAACATTTTATGTTTTATACTGAGACTGAGCCTCTTGCTAAAATATTTTAATGTAGTAACTAAGATCAGTAAAAGCTGTTCATTCAAGATACTGAAAAATACTAAACATGATAAAAAACATGATAGCCATTAAAATGTTGATATGATTGCAGGTTACCGATATACATCGCAGAGTAAAAATTGAGATAAAACATGCGAAAAATAGCAACAAACGTAGAAAAAACAAGACAGATAGTGGTGTAAAGTCTTTGACCAATAATAATAATATCTTCTATTTATATAGAGTATTTTCTTCTGAAATAAATAAAATTCTGAACATAACCATTTTATATGATTTTTTTTCTTGTTGTTCAGCTTAAAGGCCTATGTAATATACCAGTTTGGAAAGAATTAGCACGAATTGCAGTGCGCGCTGTGTGCGACGAAAAATAATTAATTTTCAGGCTGATCTCAGCCTTATAGAAATTCAACATAAATTAAGTAAATTAAAAAAAGAATGCATAAATTAAATTTCTCAAGTCTGTAGTGTTTTTATTTTTGATTAGGGATCTTTCGCACACCCTAGTTTGGACACCGCTAGCCAAGCATTTGCTTCACATATTGTATTCACAAGAACGTGTTATCAGAATGGAAAATTTTCTGATGTTTTATTATATTTCAGATAATTGAAAGTGCTTCAAGCTTGCCTTACAACATTTAGTACGTATATGGCTGAAGTGGTGTAAAATAATCTAATTGTACTACTCTTAATTCAATATGTTTTCTTCATAAAGCTGTACGTTTATTTAAGAAAATAAATATTTTAACTTCCAGTAATTCAGGAATTTTTTTTTAGAATATATGTTTCTCTCAGTTTTCTAGAATTATCGTGAGCTTATCTTTAAATAAAATCAAAATTAACAAGTTCATCTTGTATACCGGCATCAAAAACTTGTTCATCTTATACTATACTGGCATCTCAGAACTTGATCATGCTGTAATTTTTAGTTATGGTAAATAGTAATTAATTCAAGTCCTTTGTATGCAAAGATCATTTGGAATGTGATATATACTTTTCATTACAATGTATTTAGTCCCTAGTTTTAGTATGTTACGAATAGTATTTTCATTTACCTGGTAGTATGATAATTGAATTATCTTGCTGCATCTCCCACTGAATGGAGGGCACAGGCCAAGCACTTGCTTCACATGTCAGAGCTATAGATGTTCCGGTAGAGTTCTGAATATCCTGCGGAGCTGAAATAATCCTTGGTGCTGAAAATATAAACATAGATGACTGCAAATTACAGAAATTATAAAATCAACAGCAAATGAAAAGTTTATTACATAAATGCTTTTCTCTCATTCGTAAAAATTTCAGTTAGTGCAAATTTAATAAAAACTGATTCGCAAGTTACACGGTGCTTTTTATTTCTCTGTCTGGGTTTAAATACTCTGCTTTCATTTATTTACACATGATACATGCTCAGATTCGTTATTGTACAATATCGGGAAGACAAAACAGGGCATACTGAAGGGAGGAATACTTGTGTGTATATTTCATTCAATATTGGTACTGTACTATATCGAATGAATAGGTTAGTGCTGAAATATAATTTATCGTCATAAATGAGGGATTAGTTTGGATTACGGACTTGCATTTTAGTTAAATATATAAAATATTTTCTCCAGGTAAAATGAACGCAAATGTTTTTTTGTGGCGAAAACTTTAGATGTTGATTAGAATTTGAACCTTAAAAATGCTTTATAATTCTTAATTGTATAAATTTATTGTAAAAATTCAAAAATTTTCTTTTATTATTTCATTTTATAGTTTCATGGCTACCTACGCAGTGAATCTATTTCTCGAATCTGGAGGATGTTGGTAGCAGCAAAACTGCATCAGGCGATTATCGTTAAATGAGCATTACGCAAATATCTTAATTTGTTTTCACATGTGTGTGAATCTGTCGAATAATAGAACTGAATTCAAATAATGCTTTGTTATTATTTGAAGGCAGGAATCTTCTTTTTTAACAAATAATGACGAATCTTTATGCATATACAGGGTGATCAGCGAATAAGCCCTGATTTCAAAATTAAATACCTCTACAACAAAGATCGATAGAATTATGCGGTAAACTGTACGTTTATTAGCAAAACTGTAAAAATGGTGTACAAAAGTTTATAAAATTTAGTTATGAAATTAGTTAACAGATAGCGCTCTAATCGCAATGACCTATCAATAGCCTTTAAAATGTGCTTCGAAGTCGGAGTGATCAGTACAACTGTTGGCTAGTGAAAAGAGGCTAGCGTAGAAAGTGAAGTATTGTATTCCATTAAACAACGTATATTTTGGTTCTGGAATTTCACCGATTATAACACAGTCCTACGGCAACACGTCGCAGTTTTCGAAACCGATTCAATGTTCCAGTTGGACCCGATGTGAAAACCATTCGCATGCTGTACGCGAAATTCGAATAGACTGGCAGCTTGACTGATGATCGAAAGGGAAATGTTGGGCCTAAGCAAACTATAGTCTCCCCTGAAAATGCAGCCAAAGTTTCTGGATTTGTTCAGCAAAATCCTAGGAAAAGCATCCGACGTATTGCATCAGAGACAGGTTTGAAGTACACGAGCACACAAAAAATATTTAAAAATAGCCTACGACTGTTTCTATACAAAATTAAAAATAGCCTACGACTGTTTCTATACAAAATAAGTCATCAGGCCATACCCATAAAAGCTGTGCTACAAAGGATTGACTTTACGAATCAGATTCTAACAATGATCGACAACGGCAGATTTGATGTGAGCTGCATCTGGTTCACAGATGAGGCACATTTTCATTTGAATGGAATCGTTAATAAACAAAACTGGAGATTTTGGGTACCAAAAATTCTCATTTGTGTGAAGAAAAAGCACTGCATTCGCCTAAAGTTATGGCATGGGCTGCGGTATGCGCCAGAGGCATTATCGGACCCTTTTTCGTACGAGAAACGATAACTACTGAACGTTACGTTACAATTTTGGAACACTTTGTCAGCACTCAACTGGCGTTGTAGGATCGACCAGGTATTGACTGGTTTCTGCAACATGGGGCTCGACCACATCGACTGTGCAGTATTAATAATAAAATAAAAGAACAAAATAAGATTTTATTGTTAAACCTTATTTTGTTTTATGACAGTTTTAGAAAGAAAAATATACTTAGTAATATATCAAAATAATCATAAGTTAAAATGTTTTTAGCTATAAGTTTGCTTTATTTAACTTTAAAAGGTTATTTCTCGTAACGTTTTGTAAAGTCTTTTTTTTGGGGGGGGGGAGGGAACTGAAAATGCATTAGTAAATATTTAAAAGGTAAAAAAGTTGGAATTGAGAAATAATGTTTTAGTTCGGGGGTGGAGAACTTTTATTCAAAATTCTGCACGCAAAATTCTCATTTAGAAGTCTTAAAAATATTAGCAGAACTAGCTCCTTTTTAATAATTCTTTGCAGCAGAAAGGAAATCACGTACTAAAGTTAATTTTATTTTTACTATAAGTCATATTTTGTTACTTGTTTTCTCTTGACAGCAGATGGATATTCCAATTATATTCCTCTAATGTAGAATGTTTTATTTTACATCAAAATTAGGTAGAAGGAATATTTTATTTGCTTTATATTTATTTCTTCCTTATGCAACCTATACACATTCACGTGATATACGTGTCTGTATTTTGCATTTTATACTACTCTTAGATATTTGTAATAATTGCTTACCATAGCGGCACGAATTTAGGTAGAATATTTCCAAACAGAAGAGCACACTACTGGCTGAGTGGTTAAGACCGTTAAATGCTGGGAGTTCGAAGTAGGCTTGGTTCCAGGCAAATAGACTGGCTGCATGGTTGGTTTTCATGGTTTTTCCCCATGTTTAACGGGAGTATGAACCCATTTCCCCATCTCAAGTTCTCCACGAAGGCATCCCACCCCTTAGGCAGATAGCTTCTCATGTGCTCTGCCGCATTCCAATATCTTCACCCAAACAGGAATATTGACTGCAATCAGTATTAAATACTAATATTATTCAATATTGTACTTTATAATTAATCGTACTTCAATTGAAAAATGATTCAAAAAGAAATTTTGTCAACTACCTTTTATTTTGTTTAAGAAACTTCGTGCTATTCTGATAAAAAAAAATTCAATTAATTTTTACTGATAATAAATTGATAATTAAGAATAGGTGCCACTAAGTGCACCTATTCTTAATTATGAATGTTGTGTAGTGCAGTAGCCATCAGTCATCTGAGACATCAACCCCATATTAAGTTGCAACATGAAAATGTAGTTTATAGTTTTCCCTTCCAGTAATTTTCTAGTTACTTTCGAAATATGCAGAATTACGAAATGTAGAAATAAGGTACAGATACTCAGCTGAAGGCGACATATACCATATTTCAATTCAGGAGAAAAAAAATATATGCATATTTTTACAAATAAACAAACATAAATGAAAGAAGGTATCTCATCAACGGCACCTAAACAAAAATTATGTCACTAAATCTTCCATTTTTTGATGGATGACAAAAGAGGTGTTTTATACTTCTTTCTCAAAGTTTGTAATTTCAGCAACATTTTATAAATTCTCAAAACTTATAATGTTGATAAATTTGATAAAACGCCAATCGATTTCAATATTGATTATTCACTTGCGAAACCTCTTCAATAATAAATAAAATTAGTCCTCATATACTACAATTTTACTGAAATGTTTTCTTAATTGTAAATGTTGAATTCTTTTAGTCGTTAACAGTTAAGTTTTTTCTTTCTTTGTACATAAATCATAGAAAAAATATTTGTATGAGCAGAATATATCGCTTTTGAATCCTAACTTGAAAATTATCAGATAATTTACTCCTAGTTCATTCTGAAGCACGAGTAAGCAAAAATAACTGAATACATCATTAAAATACTAATAAAACATCTGAAGGAATACTATTTAATGAAGCTTTAATGTATTCTGCAGTTTTAGAAAATAATTAGGCAACCTGAATGCCTATTTTATTCTTTAGTTCAGATGTACTTGAGAGGTTTGCGGTACTTATCTGTATATTTTCATAAATGCTATTTTTGTAACTACAAGTTCGCTGAGGGAAAATGATCTATTACATCTAAAGTATGTATACCGATTGCATGCTTTAATATAAAGGCAGAATACATACTGAAATTTAAATTAAGATAAGATTCAGGTTACGTTTAACGTTTATGAAAAAAGAGTTCTGTGCTTCGCGTGAAAGACAGTTTTGGGACCTGCTTTCGTTTTCAAGAAGCAAAAATATTCTACCGAAACGAAAGTAAAGGAATAATCATCTGTTATTTGCAGTTGAGCAAATATCGAAAGTTTAAAAAGCTCATGTTTTTTTTATGAAGCAATTTACAAAACTGCTAGAATGCTTGTTAAAACGATAAGGAAAACCAAATTTAATAGGAGAAAAATTGAAAATAGCTAAATAATAGGTAATAAAACTAGCTAAAATTGTAAGAGAAAAATCATAATGAAAGCTAAAAAAATGCCTAATAAATAAAGAATAAAAAATAATTGACAAAATTAAAAAATTGCCAGTTGTTTGATTAATTAACAAAATCTCAATATCTAACACAAATGCAAAGAAAACTGGAAATGAAAAATTAAAACATACAAAATGTCCAACAGACAAGCGATGAACACTAACAGAGGTTTCAAAACGGAAAACAGAAAACTTACAAAAGTATAAGACTAAAAATCAAAACTATTTACAAACAAACAAACAAACAAACAAAAAAAAATCAAGGAGTAACATATCAGTGTAACTAACGGAAACTGGGTACTAGCGAGGGAACTCAAAATTGAAACAGCAACAGAATTCTCCCAAATGGTTGTTAAACGGAGTAAGAGTTTATCTAAAATTCAGAAGTTAGTCTGAAATTAAATTAAATTTAGGTAAAATTCAACCTTCAATTGACGTTTCTTTTAAAGAATATACTTGATCGGTCAATCAAACGTTAATATAGTCAGCTAATCAATATCAGCCTTCAACTGAAACTGATTAGCAGAATAATTTGAAGAAGAGGATCTCTTTACCTTTACACCTCGAAATTCATTGACGTTTTCTTTAAAACTACCACGAACTGAAACTTGATTTTACCTTAATTTAAATTATGGACTCTAGCTCTCATTTTAAAATATTTTCGAACAACATATTAGTTGTACATACCAAAAACATATTAGGTTCTTTTCATCCGATATAACCAATTAAAAGATCGTAAATAACTGCAAATTTTTTTCTGCATTCAGGTTTAAAGTATTTTTATGAGCGTTATAGATCTTAGATATTTTATGTTTTATTATATTACGGATCCTTTTATTTAAAGCTAAACTGTATGTAAATAAACTCACGTTTCACACAGGGCTCTCTAGAGATTGCCCTGAGTCCATCTCTTCTGCGGTAACGAGCTTCATTTAGCTGGCAGATATTGTCGTATGTTATACCGTCACTTCCACATAAAGGATCCTGACTGACACAAGTACATATGGCTTCCGGTGGATCTTCCCAAGCTAAATCAGTCCTCATTCGGCATTCCAAATTGTCTCCACAGTGACCGAATCCTTCAATATGTAAATCGTCATGATCACATCTTTCACCTTCTCGACGTGCACATTTATAACAGCAGTTACAAAAATCTTTAACCAAGCCCGCGTAACAGTCCTCTGGTGGTTCACAAGAATTCATATCGCATTCACTACATTCGTTGTCATCAGCAGTAACCGATCGGGCTAATATTATCACAGCTGTGAAGAGGCCCGTCAAAATAAAGTGGTGCAGCATGATAAATGTGCTGAAACACAGTGAAGTAGGAAAAAAGACTGGATCTAAAATGAGTAAACGTTCTAGCTTTGAAACATTATCTAATCAGAGAAAATGTGCTAGAATGTTTATGGTATTGTTGATGATTGATTTCATAGTCCTTCCACCCGCAAAATATTTTGCGAAATGTTTATCATTTGTATTTCATTGATGTAAAAAAATATATATTCTATAGCGTCTCGAAATAATGTGTACCGTATTTCGGACAAGGTTCAAGTTTTCCTTTCTTTTTTGTAATCTCAGATTAATTCAACTGACCTTGCGTTTGTTGACTATGTGAGCATATTTAACGCGTGTTTTGGTGTTTTGTATGTATTTTTGCAATATTCCTCCAGTAATTATAGTCGACATGTGCTTACATAAATATTAGTGTATAACTAATTCATTCTACACGCGTATACTTATATACTCAAAATATTACTTACTTATTATTATTATTGTAAATTTACGATGTTTATTAAGTTTATGTTTTCGAAACAAATTGTCGTATACTCTTTCACTCATCTTTCAACTCTCAAAATTTTCAAGAGCATTTTTTCAGCATTTCTGGTTTTGTATTCAGTATTTCTCATATTGTTTTATTATTTTCAATGTAATTTTGGACAGATTTGCATCCGCATTTGTTCTCAATCCTATTACTTCAAAAACTTAATATTCAACTTAATAATTATCCAATTTAGTACTGGAGAAATCATAAAAATTAAGGCTCTCATTTACTACATTTATAAAACCGGTATAAGTATCCCTCATATGTGTCAAATAATTTTGAATAATACTATACAGATCATTCTACAGAAAACTCTACGTATAAATTAACCGTTTGCATGCCGTATTAGATTATTCATAAAATAAGAATATTTTGAATATTATATTAGCATCAATAGATCAGAACTAAATTACTGAACGAATACAACTTGTTAAATAAGTTAAACAATTTTAAGTTTTGATCGATTTTTGGTCCTCAGTTTTGTTAAATGCATAATTCATCCCCAAAATAGCAAAATAAGCTTGTAACGTCAACATTTTTAATTTATCAAAGAACGCATATACAGACTGATTTGTCAATGAAAAGTACAAAAAGATTCGTATTACTGAGGGAAAAAAAAGCAATAATTATACAGCTAAATCGCTTAATGGAGTTTTTGTCTTCTATTTCTTAAATTAAAGCTAAAGCAAATACCTACAGATCATCAATTTTGCATTTTAACTTTTCCTACTTTACTTCGATATCCATGAAAGCGAAGATAGTAAAATACGAAACAAGTCTTTTGTTAATGGTCCTAAGCATAAATACATGTCTCTTTAGAACATACTTTATAAGGTATTTCTCCCACTTTCCTAGCGTGCCGTCGTGGTGTAGTGGTTCTGCACGCTGGGCCGGTATTCCAGAGGTCCGTGGTTCGATTCCCGGCGAAGGCGGTTGCTAATTTTTCAATCGCTCTTGCTTCCAAAAAATACTTAATGTCTCTACAGTGGCGTCCGAACTAAAAGGATTGGGGATGACGACTCTCCACACCCAGGATTTGGCGATTGGGTCCCCTGAAACCCCAGTCGCCCTTTAAAAAAGGGGAGTATATAAGGTATTTCTCCCGATTTCCTAGCGTGTCTTCGTGGTGTAGTGGTTCTGCACGCTGGGCCGGTATTCCAGAGGTCCGTGGTTCGATTTCCAGCGAAGGCGGTTGCTAATTTTTCAATCTCTCTTGCTTCCAAAAAATACCTAATGTCTCTACAACTTCATAAGTAGAAAAAGGAAGGCTATATATTCCTTTTATTATTGTAAAAAATTTTATTAGACGCACGTAAAGATATGAATTGATATATTTTTCTCAAATACATATATTTCCAAAACAAAATAAATAAAAACGATACGATGGGAAAAGTTTACCTCAAAGAAAAGTTTATCATTAAAAATTTCAAAAAATTAAAAAAAATATTAAAAAATTTATAAATTACAAAAAATTACAACAACAGAGTAAAAACTACAGCTTTGTATTCAGATTCCAATTTAACATCTTGAACTGCTATAAACTAAGCAGTTATGCAAGGCCTTCTAGTTTAGGAATGAATCCTCAGACGTTTGAAATACTTAACATAAAATCGTATTAAAATTAGGCAATTAGAGTGTGAGTAAAACTCTATCATTTCGAGGATGCTTTAACATAGATCCCACTTCTTCAACAGCAAATAATTTGCCGAAAAGCAAAATTAGGGGGAAAAATAAAATAAAAAATAAAAATGCCCAAATTCCTTTTCGGTTAGTTTTGATTTTTATATTGGTGTATTTCTCTATTGATTATATAAAATTGTATATTAAAAAATATTCAAAGCAAGTAATCAAATACGGAGGAAATTAAACTCTCTATTATATTATTCCATCGTATATTAACACCACGTGGAGACTTTTGCACTGCTTTAAAAATAAATTGTATTTTTTGTGATTTCGTAATTTAGTGTTCTTTTAAGAGCAATTATGAAAAAAAAAAAAAAAAAAAAAAAAAAAAAAAAACTTTAGTCAAAAAAACTTTTCAAACATTAGTCAAGCGCCTTATCACCAAAATTTGAAAACATTAAAAAAAATATAGCAAATCACTTTGGAAAAGTTCATATGTCTCGCTGTTATCAGCATTACGGAATTTGCCTCAGTTTCATATATATATATATATATATATACGCAGTGCTGCTCAAATGGCTTTTTGTCGAGAAACATGTGCAGAACTTTTAACAGTTTAAAGCGTGACATTATTACAATAGCGAAATGAAAGTATAAAATTGTAACACAGTAGCAAACTCACAACAAAGTGAATCACAACAAAAATTGATAACCGTGAAACTGTAAAACTGAAAAGGTTTTAATAATTTAAATGTACGAAATCTAACACTTAGAATAGAGAAACACAGACTTTGGACCAAGACTTAAATTTAGTCAGAGCTTGATTTCTGTACTCTGTAATTTTTGAGCGAAATTGTAATTCCAGCCGGAGTCTCAAATAACAGAAGCTCTTGTACTCTAATATTTAATCCTTTTTCATTAATTGAACTTAAATTATTAATTTTGTAAGTATCTTTTAACATTTTATTTAATTTTAATTATTAATTATTTAGAATATAATTTATTTAAATTTTCACTTTTTGAAGGCTAAGGCATTTCTAATTCTAAAAATTAAGCCCTAAATTTGGTAATGTATTTCCTAAATGTATGTAGGATGCGCTAATATGTGTGAGCTGCTCTATTCAGTTTTCATTTTAGTTACATTTTCAGTTAATTCGAAATAATGAAAATGTCTAAAACTTTCAGATAATATATCGAGAAGCAAAGTTGATGAATATTAGTAGTTAGACCCGAGTTCGATTCCAGCGAACGGGCTGGCTTCATGGGTATTTTCATAGTTTTCCCAGCCATGATCGAATAAACCAGACCAAATAATGTTGCAATAATCACAGCTTTCGAAGCATCGTAAGTTGAAAAGTTAAATGCTGAAACATGTTACAGCGCTACAATTTTACCTTTTAATTTATACCCATTTATAACGATGTGAATTTATCTTATTAGTAACATGTTTAACAAATCTTTATTATTTGTTTAATGAACTATGGCAAAGCATACGAGGGTTATTTGCCAAGCGGAAGGGATGTGTTCGCGAAAGATGTTTTAAGGAAAATTTGTTTTTATTCTCGTTTTGCATGAAGAACCCACGGAAAATAAACGCATCCGGTCTGTTCACCAGGATTTGAACTCAGGGCAGTGTTCAATAGTCTTAGCCACTATTAAGCCATAAATTATAATTAAAATCTTCATTATATTTGCAGCTGTTTAGGGAACGGAGATATATTATTGATCTTCTATTCTATCAAGATTATCTTCTTGCGCCTAAAACCTGTCCATGAGGTTGTAACGTCAGACTTTTTCTATGCATGGATTTTGAAGCTTTTGTTTCCACAGATGATACAAGGAGTATATATTAATTCAGATACAGGAAGCTAACATCCTCATGCATAATTAGTGCCAGTTTATTTCGTATAAGTATCGTTAATCATATCTTTTGAAAAATTTATTTTCAGATTTCCGAAATGGATTCGAAGAAAGCAGTTTCAGGAAAACTTTTCAAGTTTGCAGACTGACGTTCAAAATTTTGAGTCATCAATAGATGTTATTTCCTTAATGATATTCTCATTCTTAGCAGTTAATAGACTATAAGATAATCACAGATATTTATAAACATAATTTGTGCTGTCTCAAAGCAATTCTTATTATCTTATTTATATTACAGAATTATTGATTAATACCACCTGGAAGTACAGTTAAGCTAAATTAAGGATGCTAACTTTCCTTCCTTTTCAGAATGAGATTAAGGAGTCTAGCTGTCTTCCTTAAAGCATTAAAAACTTTGAAATTAAAAATTCTAAAAGAAGACTTGTTTTGCAATAGTTAGGTTCACAGGTAACACTGGAACACGCCCTCAATTTGGCCCTCTTTTTCTGACCACAGATAAGAGGGTGCGGCGTCCCTTCTGTTTGAGGTGGACATGTTGCTAAGCAACAAGGACAACGGACGTGATTATCTTTGAAATAAAGCTAGGAAAACCACATTTGGCCCCAGATCGCCGAAGTTTCAAATCCTTGGTAGGGTCACTGAACTCTCATATTAATTATTAGCTGTTTACTCGAAAGCTAAAAGGAGTTTTACACTTATGACCACGGTGCAGTTGGATATAAAATCATAGGAAGCTTCCTCTGTGAAAAGCAAACATAGAAATAAAACAGCACATTTTCAAGTTTTAACTTTTGTATAGACAGCATGATATTTAAAGGAATAAATTCATTTCAGAGAGATTCTGGGAATAATGAATCAAACATTGATTTAAACTGCATACCAAACGGTTATATTCGCCCACCATAAAAAAAGAAGAAAAAATCCATGAAATTTCAAATCATCAAGAATAAGTACATACTATGTCTACTAATCAAATATAAAAAATTGAATTGAATCTTGG